ACCCTGACAATTCACCCCCCTTCCGGAAGGTGCATCCTTGCACCGTTGAACAACAGAGGGGTGGGAACTAAGGAGGAGGTTCCAGAGGAGGACGGACACCCGGGAGGGGGCCGGCAGACAGAGTCCAGGGAGGAGACAGGATGGGCTTGGAGCAGGAGGAACCCAGCTGGACCTAGGCCACAGCCATAATGTCGGCCCACGGTGGAGCCGACGGAGGGAGGAGCCATGGAGAAGGAATGGCCGCCGACTCCAGGGGGCCAACCAACGGCGGCGGAGCAGGGGGTGGAGGAGCCCAAGACGGAGAGCCGATGAGCCAGGGCGACGTGGAGGATCTGGAGGTCCTAGGCGGAGCAGATGGTGCCGGCGAATTCCGCTCGAGGACCATTTTCGGACAACGAAAATGCGTGTCGTCCGGGTAGCTGGTAAGTTCGGCAAGGGCCAGAAGCAGTCTGGTATTGTCCTTGAGCGAGCGTTCCCCCTGCTCCAGCAGGAGGAGGAGGAATTCGGGGCGAAGGAGGGGATCCATAGAACACAAAGGAAACAAAACACTGAGGGAAAAAACACGGAAACAAAAACTGAGGGTAGACACACGGAGGTTACTGTTTTTTTGGGTCGGTTCTTCTGTCACGATCTGTGCTAGGAGGAGCGCGGAACGAGGAACAAGGAGACGTGGAGTACATAAACAGTCTTTAATCCTGGGAATGACAGGGGAATTTCACAACATCCAACAAGTAGAACCGACAAAGGAAGACTACACAGACTGGGGCTAATAAACACAGGGCAAATCAGGGGAACACAGGTGCAGGGAATCAATCCAATTAAAACAATTAACACGAGGAGAAACTGGGTCACGGTGAGCAAAACACACACAGTCAGTCGAGAACCCTGACAATCATTAGTGACTTTCAAAACATTAGATAATATTACAGACCTCAAACTTTTGAATGGTAATATATATTTTCTTTTATACAAAACTCAAAGCAAATGATAAAATATTATATGGAGAATATTTATTTTGAATTAAGTTGGCATTATATTTTTTTCTTTTAGAAAGTTGTATGTATAAAGTTGTATGTATAAATTAAAATATTTGTAATTGTTATCAGTCCAGAACCCTGACAATCATTAGTGACTTTCAAAACATTAGATAATATTACAGACCTCAAACTTTTGAATGGTAATATATATTTTCTTTTATACAAAACTCAAAGCAAATGATAAAATATTATATGGAGAATATTTATTTTGAATTAAGTTGGCATTATATTTTTTTCTTTTAGAAAGTTGTATGTATAAAGTTGTATGTATAAATTAAAATATTTGTAATTGTTAAAATCTAGGGCTGCCAGAAGATAATTCCGCATGTGTTAAAAAAATGTCATGTTAAACATTTACATAATATCTGAAGTTAACATGGTGAGTCTGAAAACACCCACTATATTTCAGATTTTCTATTGACCTTCTGGTGGACACCAGTTTGAAAACCCATATATGAAAGTACTATGGTATTTATGTCATACCATCACTCAAAATAGCACCTTTTTGTATAGGGCAAATACAACTGGAAAAACATCTATAAATTCCTATGATACAGTACTATGGAGATGGCCAAGTAGAATTTTGGCAACATAAGCACAATACTTCTTTGAAGCTTGAAGCCATTTAAAGATGGTTTTCAGACGTTTTCACTGTCCATTGCAGATTCAAGAAAGCACAGCTGCAGATCTATAAGATGCATTCTTCTTGTAACACATTTCCTTGCTGTGCTTCATCTGGCATCCAGACCGCTCAATGCTTGTGACCCATCGCCATTCCAACTTTTCCAACTGCATGTCTCGACAAAGCCTGTGAACAACAGAAGATGGCCTGAGCCTTTCAATGGCCCCTCACCCTTTTTTTTGTGTGTATCACCAAGTACTCTTGTTCCACTTCGGGCGGCCTGCAGGCAGAGAGAGAGATGAGTCACAGAGAAGCTTTTCCACTACATCTCATAACATTCTTCTGTCTGGGAACAGCGGATATGCAGAATCAATCGTGGCTGGGCAGCATTCGCTGTTTCTCCCCTCGCTGCTTTGATTTTTCCATTAGAGCATCAGTCTCTTTTGTCCACCCCAATTTTTTACTAAAAATCAACAATGGAAAGCATGTCGTAGTCTTCTAAGAGGAGATGTCTCAGCGATGTTAGATTTCTTCTCAGTCAAAAGGGAGTCAATCTGTCTTCTGTGTGCTTGTGTTGGAAACATCATTCAGTTCAAGTAATTTCAGGTGTGAGAACGCTGTTGTCATTTGGAAATGTATGCAGGTTTGACAGCTGTTGTTTACCTCCATTAGACTATAATAGTACATGCTGATTTTTTTTTTATATGAGCCCTATTTGTTGCAGACTCAATAATTTTTACAAAGAGGCATAACTCCTCCTCTTGTCCCCAGAGCGATCATCTCCAGGCTCATATTTGTACCTCTAAATATTTTCATACAACAAAGCAACCCAGTTCTGTCTGTGCTCTGAGCGTGTCAGTGTGATGTAATATTTGTTTTCAGTTTTGAAGAGCAGATTTTACTGACCCATATTTTTCCTTACTATCCAGCGGGTTAACTGTGGGCACTATAAAAAGATCTGAAAGACGCTTCTACAAAACATTTCTGAGAGAAGTTTGGCAGAGTTTAGTTTACACATTTAGTATGTGCATCGAAGTTAGAGTCAAAGTCAAAGACACGGATCAGTCTCAATCTTGCTTATCATGTATCAGTAAATATACGGGACAGGACTGCCATCGTGGGATGCTGTACTTGTGATGGGTACCATAGCTTGTGAATGGGGGTCCTACTCTCAAAAATATTGTCCTAGCCCCTTGATGCGTGATAATGTCACAAAATGTGCTGCTTAATGATGGGCCAACTCATCAGACAACCAACTAGTCATTTAGTGAGGTTGACTTTTATCTAGATTTTTTTTCTAGATACATTACTGTTTAAAAGTTTGGGTCAGTAAGATTTTTAAATACTTATATTCAGCAAGAATACATCAATTCATCAAAAATGGCAGTAAAGACGTGTAACAGAATTTTTTTTATTTCAAACAATTGCAAATATCCACAAAAATAAGCAGCACAACTGCTTCTTATTCAACCTTGATAATAATCATAAATGTTTCTTGAGCATCTAGTCAGCATATTAGAATGATTTCTGAAGGTTCACTCAAAAGCAAAGTAAATCACTGTTTCCCACAATTTAAAAACGAAATAATAGGCCATCCTATTGATGTAAACAACTGAATAATTGATAAAGGATGTGAAAATAGTGTCTCTATTCTAAGTAGAATCCATAGAGCTGCACTATTCACATTGCCATTATTGGAGTCAGTTCTAACATATAGTACCTTTCATCTGAAGGTCTGATTTAAGAGGCAAAAAGGTTGATAAACAAACCATCGGAGAGCAAGAGCACAAAGGCAGCAGCTCACTATAGATAGAAATTCTCCTCTGTAACCTTTGTGTCTTGAAATAGAAGCACCCACTTGTTTCCCCATAAACCTAGGCAGCCATTTACTAGGGACTTACTCCATCCTTGTGTTTTATTTAATATCAGTTCTCACCGTGCTCTGTTTGGAAACGTCAGGCCAGGCCTGAGTGGTGAAAGAGTTAAAGACACAGCAGAAAAAGACACACAGATGTTCTCTGTCACATTGAGCAGCAGCTGCTGAAAACAGCCCTGTGTTCAGGCTGACTGATGTAGATTGCTGCGAGCAGCTCCACTCCGTATGGAATACGGACCTCATATGGCATATTCTGATCCGCTTCCAAATTCCACTGCTCATATTATAGGCCCAATAGAAGCCCATTTACCAGGTGTTAACGGTTGTATCACCTACAGACCAGTTAAATCGGTGAAATCTCAAACATGCCAAAGCCAGAGGCACTATGCTGGCTGTTTCACAAAAACAGGCCAGTGAGGTACTTAAAGCTGAAGCGTGTAATTTCTGTTCTTCAGGAGTCATCAAATGTGATAGCAAAAATCATGACTGTTTCCGAAAAGGTTTCCTCCCGTCTATTATTGTTTGATCAAACAGAACCTGCCTCAAATGCATGCCGTTGGTTGAACCATTGTTGCTGTGATGAGTAATTTGGAACAATAGTACTTTTTAGGCAAATCAACCTAATACTTGACTCTGTGTAAGTTATGAATGGAGTGCTTTTGCCAAAAAGTGTTGTGAGTGAAGCATGAGTGATTTATTGGTGGAAGAAAGTGTGACACCAGTAGTTAGTGCTCCACAGAGTCTCTTTTATGTCTGTGCTGCTGTTAGTGAAAGTGATAGAGTGAACAGCCCTTAGAGACAGGCATAGCGTTCTTCCCCGTGTCTGCTGGGAAACAGGACAGTTTGCCATCCACGCAGCTCCATATGAATGCAAACTAAAAATGGTCATGGTGTATAACCTCAAATGACAGTAAAAGCTTTTTTGCATGTGACAAGGATGCATGGGCGACTGTCAGTACTGAACAATAGTTCTGGCCCACACAGCTGAGAAGAATGATTATCCTGTTGTTCCTCCTTTCTGATTAGCATTCCCAAACTATGAAGATTATGCAATGTTTATGTAAAAGTATACATTTCAGTCATTGATTATGCACTAAAAATGACCATAGTCCCATCTCAAGGGTTTTCATTTGGAAGTTGGAAGGCAGTGCAGAATTGTAGGTTTCGAGTGTGTAATTTTCACTGCTGGTCATGCAGCTCTTTTACACACACAGTATTCTAGTGCATACTCAAAGTTACAGTCCTAAAATAGAGAATTTTCTAATGCTAATGGGAAATTCAAGCCTTAAATCAAATGCACTGGCCTCAAACACTTATTTGTGGAAATGTTGTTACTTTTTGCTATAAAAACTGTATGTAGAGCCCTAGTATCATAGAACATGCTGTGAAATGTCCTTACTCCCACAATGTACTATTGTTGCTTTTTAATCATACTCGTCCATCTTTCCCTCTCTTCTTTCTTTAGAGTTGCTGGGTTCTGCCAAGAAGGTGAACGTCAACTTCCAGGACACTGATGGGTGAGTGGGACATATAAGGGCTTTATATGGCTCCATGTGGCAGTCTCTTGTAAACATGATCGTTCCTGTCTGACTGCCAAATATCCTCGGGATCTGCCAGAGCTCATGTGTGCTTGTTGGCTTAGAAAAACTTTTATCCAAGTCTCTTTCCCTCTCTTATCTAACTCACCCCCATATACATTACAGAACCGTACTGATCCATAACTGCTCTTTAATTTCAACCTAATCGATGCTTAATTATTATACAGTGATTAAAAAAATATTTTATTATTTTTACAAAATATTAAACCATGTGGCATTTAGGTAAATAAATGCATCACAGACACGCTTTTTAAGCAAAATATTAAAAGAAGTTTATTAGATTTTAAAGGGACAGATATACTGCTCAAAATTAAGACAATAGTATTTAAACCCTTTTTGGTAGTCAGATGTTACTACTGTACTTATATAGTTTTTTAATATAACTTCTTTTTGGCATGATCATTTTAGTTATCCATATACCCTGGGTTTTATATTATATATATATATCAGAGGTGTTCGGTGAGATTTGACAGAAAATGCCCATAAACATTGAAAAATAAAAAATGTTACGTTTAAACCTAGGGATGTAACGATTACCGGTTTGACGATAAATCATGATAAAATTCCCCGCGGTTAGTATCACCATTTCATATTTTAATTATCATTAAAACCGTATTAGATTACCGCGATTTGAACAACTCACGAAAAGTCAATACTGTTCAGCATAAAGCAGTTTTCAGTAACGGTCTCATGTGCGCACAGCTTTTTGAGTGAAAACAGGGTGGAAAAGCTGGGAGGTTTTAAAAGAGTGCTAAGGGAATTATACAAATGAATATATGAATGAATTATTTATATGAATGTACCGCTGAAGGTTCTGACTGTCTTCAGAAACTATTTGAAGGCATTTTGTTTTCATCTTCGCTCCATGTAATACCTAAAGGAAGTGTTCTTAATCGCAATACTGCTTTGTCCACGGAGGTTACGGGAAACAGCTCTAATTCAGCTTTTCCATAAGCGCCACCTGCTGTCAGCAAGTGGATTTACAGAGACATATATTTACATTTAGCCTGTGTGCAGTTTCTGTCTGGCCAAAAACAGACCAAATTTGCATGCCCTGCTGTAAATTTTGACCTGTTGATGAAAAACAAGCTTATGTGGATTCTACACATTTAAACAATTCAGATAAGCTATCTAGAATTACTTATGGAGCAGATAAAATACATATCATAATTTATTAATCTATTATAATTTAGACTTAACCCTTTTCTTTATTTAAAGGCTGAAATGTGAGGTTTACCTTTTTAT